TCTCTGCAGAGAAAAAAAATAATAGGGCCATTTTATATTGGCAATGTTTGTTTTATATTTAGCAAGATGATACTTGGGCTTCTTGCACGTTAGTAATATGATCTTTAAAAAGGTTATTAAAGTTTATCAATGACTGTGTTAAGCAGTTGAGTCTAAAGACTGAGAAGTATACCCAAACATTGCCAACTGTGAAACATATACTATCAGAAAGACAGGAACACATTTCTGTTCAAAATACACTCATGAGGGCTGGGCTACGGCTCAGTGGCAGAGTGCTTGCCTAGCATGTGTGAGGGAGGCACTGGGTTCGAACCTCAGCACCACATAAAAAAATAAATTAAAAAAATAAAGGTATTGTGTTTATTGACAACTAAAAATATTTTAAAAAATATACTTATGAAGCATTTCATTCTCATTCAGATGCAAAGGATGTTGGGGAGAAGATGAGAATAACGCTCTGTTATGGAAAAACTGTTCACAGGATGGAGGCAAGAGATCTGTGGGGGTGGGTCTGCTAAATCAAAAGTCTTCCCTGCTCAGCTGTTGCTCCAGCCTCTCCACGAGGGCAGGGAGAGGGCAGAGGGCAGAGGACAGGGTACCTGGAACTGGGGCTCTTTCAGGGCACACTTCACAGCCAATGGTGCTATCTCAGTGCGTGTGACATCTGAGATTCTCAACTCCTTGGAAAACCAAAAGAGAGTGAGGTGACTGAGTAGCACCCTTGAATCTCAGGAGTGGCAGGCAGAGTTCCAGTGATGCCAAGGTGGGAGAAGGATGGCTCCAAGGAGGAAGGCAGCAGGGTGGCCTCCTGGGGTCCTCACACCCTTACCCATGCCCAAGGCTCCAGCCTATGTCTCTGTGAAGCCAGATGCAAGCTCCTTGATGGCTTGGCCTCTCTTCTAATACCAGGCTGATCACAAAACACTAACAACTGCTACTGAAACTAGAAGAATATCCAGTACACTCCAAGTACTAGAAACACTCGAGTCATGTCTAATACCTACCACTTTGTGTCCAGAAAAGCTACTGGTAGCATTTTGATCATGTCATAAAGCATATGATTTTCAAAATGAACTTCTTATCTACTAGGAAAGAATACCCTGAAATTAGGGCAAGGTTTGCTTGTTTGTTTTCACATTCAACTTCTGAAAAGCCAGCATTTAAATCAAGCATTCAACAGAAGAGACTACCTTGGAGAAAACAGTATTATAAAAATTGTAGTCAGAGTATAAAGCCAGGCACAAGTAGCTCTTTCAAATTTAAACACAGTGCACACTTCTGAATTTTAGCAGAAGAGTCAGTACTATATTATTACAGCTTAAGGGGGAAAAACTACTATGGAATCACCCGCATGAAAGTATTACTCCCTTCCACACACATCAAGCTTTTGGAATGAACCAACAGAGTCTAATGAAAGGACAAGGAGCCTCCCAGTCAAGGCTCTGGGCTCCTATCAGGAGCAATACGAGCTGGACCAAGCATCTAAGCTTCCATAGTGGCAATTTCGTCATCTGTAGAGAGGAGATGCTGCAGACAGTCCTGAAGTCCAGCCTGGGCACGGTTGGGTATAGCACATGCTGGGCTCCAATCACACTTCAGCACTACTTGTGTTCACATAGCAGTAAAGGAACAAAGACCTAATGTGTAAGGCCTGCTCTTAAGTGTTTTAATATTTAAGAATAATTTCCAGTCACTGATTTGAAATACCTGAAGAAAAGTATGCTGCATGGTTAACAACCAAGCCAAAATGATGTTACAATTTTATAAAAAGTTTGCAGTAATACTGAAAAAGCAGCCCTAGTAGGACAAAATTTGTACTTTAGCACAGTGGGGCTGGCAGAGACAATCAAACTAAATATTCTTACTGGCAGGTGAGAAAGGTCACTCTGCTCATTTCCATGATGAGACATGAAAGAGAAAAACTGCAATCTGCAATCCTCTTGTGTACCATGGAAACACTTAACAAGAGTCATGGCCATGATGAGGTGGTATCACAAAGTCAGCTCTGAGCATCAATTTGGAAATATCTGTACTCCTGTGCATTTTTTGCCCCTTCCCACTGTGTTCCAGCACCACCACCATGCAGGCCACGCCTCCCTCTCTGAGCACACGTATAAATCCCACATGGCAGACTGACGCTGGCCTCTAAGTTGCACCCTAAATTCCACCAGAATCTTGACCTGGCCGTGGCTCTCAACAGAGCTTTACAGTAAGTATGTGTTTCCTAAAAATTTAATACTTAATTGTCTTGAAAGTCCTTTAGGCCCTCAGAATAGTATGCCCGGGGAAATTTACGATTCTGTTAGGTATTTCTGAAACCTCTATTAATCTCATTTTTACAGAGTCTACCCAAATCTCAAAGGTAGACCCTCTGGGTAGAGGGATGCCTCCAGCAGTGCTCGGCATGCAGCACGCACTGTCTGCCAGGTGGGCTGCTGTGCAGTGGGCAGTGAGAAGCTTGAGGAACCCCCACCTTAAAGGAGTACTGGCGGCCAGAGGAGGTGGTGTCTGGCAGAAAAGTAGACCACCTTGCAGCTGGCCTGGCTGGACTGCAGCCTGGCCCCATTGGCCTGTACACAGAACAGGCTTGCCCAGGAACAGAGGCAGAACATCCGAGGGTCCAGCAGTATGTCAGTACCCCAGCCCATATGGGGGCAGAGAAATAATCCTGGGCTCTGTTAACAGTACTAGTTTTCCAGGTGTCAGTTTAACAAAGATACTTCAAGAAATGTCAAATATCAGCTTTGAGCAAGTGTGATGCACAGGTGGGTTGGATGCTATGTGACTCTTTGTGGACAACAGAAATGTACCATGCTTGTTAGTCTGATTCTGCCTACATGAGCAGGCAGCAGGTGGAATGACAAACAACCACATCATGACTGCGGAGGACATTCTTCTCTGCTGGATCTGCAATTATCCAGGACAGTCTTGTGTCAAAGGATCTCAGCTCTGGAAAGACTGCTGTGGCAATGAGAAGAACAGAACTGGTGGGCCACCTCTAGTGGGGCTATAGGGGTAGGGGAACCACAACCCCAACTTAGTGTGGCTGAGAAACAATGTAGAGAAGGGGAAGGTGGCCTGTGGGTAGGTAGATGGCCTTCGAGGGCTAAGAAAGCTTGAGCTTCATCTGATGAACACTAAATTATCACTGTTTCTGACCTGAGTGATGCATATTTAAATTAACATAGTAGTAAAGAAGTGACAGAGAAGGAGGTATAACCTTATTAAGGTGGACCTAGGAAGAAAGTATTAAGGCAGAATCAAAAGAAATTAAGAAAAGGTTTGAACCTAGAGAGCCAAGTTTGGGTACTGATTCTACCTTTTGCTAGTTATGTAATCTTGAGCAAATTATCTAACTTTCTCTGGGCCTCAGTTTTCTTCATCTGTATATTAAGAACTATCTCCTTGGGCCATAGTGAGGACTACAAGAGTTAATCCATGAAAAAGGATACAGAACATGAAGCAGAGACTGGAACAAAGTATGTTCTGCAAGTATACCTCACAAGTCAGCTGGCTTTCTTTTCCGTGTATGTCTGAATTAGGATATAAAAACTGGGAGTGTGTCCAAAAAGGGTGGCTGAGAATGCAAAGTGCAGAGGTGTGATGATGACCAGCTGCTAAAAGAAACTGAGGTTCACCCTGAAGAATGGAGGAAGCTGATGAAGAAATCAGTCAAACTGAAGGACGAGGTATGAAGCGTCTGTGGGACCTACTTGATCACCCAAGACAGATGCAGGAATCATGTTTCTTAGCCCAATAGAGCTCAGCTTGCTCTCAAGCAGGAGTAACCATGGGGAATGTGCATGGTCAAGCGCAGAGCCAGGGCATTCAGCAGACCCTGGGCCTCATCCCGGAAGCTGCTTTTCAGGCTCAGAGGTGGTGCAGGCCTCAAGGGCTCTACAGACTGCTCGGCAGAACACCCTCAGACATCCCCAGGCCCTTCTTGCCTCTGGAGTCTGCTTAGGGCACCTGGTGGCCACCCTCTCCACCAGACTGTGAACTATGAGGCTGAGTGTTGCTGGACAGCCCAGATCCACTTCTGGAAACCTTGGTTACTGCTTGAGTCTTGCACTAGGTTTGTGGAAAGACAAATGTGGACAATGAGTGGGCAGCACTGAGAATGCCTCTGCCATGAAGCCCGAGGGTCTTTGCCTGGAGTAGGGACACAAGACACATTCTGCAGAGGACATGTGGGTACTTGTATGCGACAACAGACAAGAAGTTACACTTTAATGTTGGATACTAAGAAATAATCCAGTATCGACTAGGCAAAAGAGCAAAACCAAATTTTAGGAAAAACTAACTCATAACAAATTGAACAGGAATTGAGTCCCTGTATGCCAGAGACTAATAACTAATGTTATCAGGAAGCTACTATTTTAGAAATAGAACATATACGTTCATAGTTTTGTTCAAAGACAGATGAGACACACACGTATGCAGCTCCACCTCTATCTTCCATATTTTCAGATTGGAAAAAAAGACATATGTACTTTAAAAACATACAAGAAAGGCACACCACACTCATCACACCAGCAAATAGTTAAGATAATGCTTATGCCAGCATCTTAACTATATGTAAAAGAAGAACCATATCCAAACACCATTGTATGTTCATTGAGAAAGGCAAAAAACATCTAAAAAATGTTTCACATTTCTTGAAATTCAAAAGACAATAAAATAAATGTACAAAGTATATAGTTTTAAATTCCACTCAAATGCAAAGATAAATTATGATGGCAAAATCAAAAGTAACAATTTTCACTCCAAATATGACTAACACAAAAAAACTGAAAAACAACCCAGAATTTATATAGCCCGGAGAGTAATCTGGTACTTCACATGTCTCAACTAAAACAACAAAACCTCTGAGCTGGTAAAACCATGCAAATCCCTAGTCTAAGCTAGTCCGGAAGAAGCCTTCACACTGTAAGTGGAGGGAGGTCTGCGATGCTCTTTGCCTGGCAGCTTCCTGCAGAGGCCTCTCCCCTGGTCCTTACCTGACACAGAGACCGCATGTGTCCGTACACCTTGCTTCTCACTGTTGGCCAACCTGCAACAGACAAGGAAAGAGTGAGCTCCGTCTTCCCAGGACAAAGCATACAGGCCCCACCCTATGGGGAATGGACCTGGATTAGAAGGACTTCACTTCACAGGGAGATTAGATTTTAGTCGGCTGTTTTGTTTTGCTTTTTAAATTGCATACTAGTACTTGAAGTACTTCCTGGGGAGAGTACTTTTATGCTTTAAAGATCAGAAATTAAAATAGACAACAGGGCTGGGGCTCAGTTGCATAGTGCTTGCCTATCACGTGCAAAACTCTTGGTTCATCCCCAGAATCACAAAGTAAGGAAATATCTAAAAAAAATATATGCTTAACTTCTTTGGGAAAGTTACTCATGATGGTGGCTGAAAACCAGCAATATCATGCAATGTGAGTTACACAGAAGTTGGCATTTAACTACTAGACTGTAAGGACTGCTGCAAAGTTAGGAGAAAAAAGTCACATATTTGGCACTGAATTTTGATCTCTAGGATGTAACTTGAGGAGTAGGGTGTAAATCAGTGACAGCGGCTTGCTTTCCATGCCTAAGCCCCTGGGTTCCATCCCCAGCACTGTGAGAAAACAGGTTTTTTTGAAACACTATAACACGATTGGTCCATATTAATTTATACCATGTAAAAAAGCCAGGAAATTCACTGATACATACTGTTATTACATACTGAAAAAGAGTAATATTTTGTAACTATTTGAAATCTTGTATCTTTACTATAAATATTGAAGTTCTTTGCTAAGGAGTCACCTATTTCTCTTCTGTTATAGCTACATGATCACAGTTTTTGCTTTTTTTTTTTTTAACATGCCACAATTTTTATTGCAACATGGCCATTTTTTTTTTGACAGTGGGGAATTTGATTGCAAAATAATGTTCCCTTTAGGGCTCTCTTACACAGAAACTGCCACCATGACTGACTGCAGAGGCCTGACATTTAAAATATCTTTAGTGCTGCAAGACTCAATACAGTAAACACAAAACTCCTACACTTACTCAAGTGAATGCTCAATCAAAAGCAAAAAGGCATTAATGACAGCTACTTCCTCTAGGAATCATGTGGGAAATGGGCATGAGCACTAGGCACGAGGATAAAGGCACCTAGTACTCACAGGACCTATGAAACTCAACTGGCATTCCTTTGGGGGATTAAACTCATTTTTAAAAAAGTGCTTTAGTGTATAGTGTTATAACTGTGCTGCCATGTCACAAAGACAGTTTGCCCAGGCAGGTGAGGCATACTAGTGCTCCAGTATCTCACAGAACTGCAGTTGAGTGCACTGTACATAGTACTGAAGGAGTTCACCATCTGGCCAGCGGACAATGCTCTCAAGGTGTCCACTCTGCCACCCTTCGAAGTACTCCAGCTATTCACACCAATAGCCACATCCATGGCAGTGCTTGCTAAAAAGGGGCAAACTGCCTGCTGTTTAGGCTAAAAGCAGACAAGAAGCACTCCTTGGGTTCTATATAAAAGTGACTCTATTAAAATGTCAAATGGCAATCACTGACAGGTGGCTTGAAGGAATAACATCTCCTTCATTCACTGTGTTGGAAAGGCCCAGTGGAAAGAGGGCATGGGGGGATTCCTCTTGCAACCCCAATGGACAGAATTGGAGAAATGAAAACCCCTTAAGATCCACATGGCACTTGACAGTCATTTTATGCAATGGTCTTTCTTCAAGTGCAACTACTGCATTGCCTCCCAATTTCTTTCCAAGTGTTGAATGGTCCCTAATATCTATCATCCAAGCCATTTACTTGCTACTTGTGTTTAATAACCTGTATAATATTTTTTTTTGTTTTGACACTGGGGATTGAACCCAGGGACAACTTACCACTGAGCCATATCCCCAGCCCATTTCATTTTTTATGTTGAGACAGGGTCTTGCTAAGTTGCTGAGGCTGGCCTTGAATTTGTAATCCTCCTGTCTCAGCTTCCTGAATGGCTGGGATTAAAGATGTGCACCACTGTGCTCAGCTGTATATTTGCTTTTTTTTTTTTTTAATATTTATTTTTTAGTTATCGGCGGACACAACATCTTTGTTTGTATGTGGTGCTGAGGATCGAACCCAGGCCGCACGCATGCCAGGCAAGCGCGCTACCGCTTGAGCCACATCCCCAGCCCTGTATATTTGCTTTTAACAGTATCTTTACAGCTAGTATACATCATATTTTTTTTAAAAGAAATAGGTTTCTTTCTTTTTTATTTTATTTTAGTTGTAGATGGACACAATACCTTTATTTTATTTTTTATTTATTATTTGTTATGTGGCGCTGGGGATTGAACTTGGTGCCGCATGCATGCTACCAGTGAGCCACAACCCAGCCCATAAATCATATTTTTAAAAATATTTATTTTTTAGTTGTAGTTGGAACAATACTTTTTTTTTTTTTTTTAATTTTTATGTGGTGCTGAGGATCAAACCCAGGGCCTCACATGTGCTAGGAGAGCGCTGTACTGTCGAGCCACAACCCCAGCCCAATCATATAGTTTTTTAAAGTGTGCACTTTCAGAAACCTAGAACATATACACTAGGTCTTCGTTTTTATACTCTTTTGTTTTGTATGTGGTGTTCTACAAAGCATGTCAGTAATCATGTGTAGGGGTCCTCTATAGTATTCACCAACATCACCCACCAAATCTGCTTTGCCTACTCTACAATTATTTGTCTTTTGTTACTGCTTTATATCATTAAAAACTTTGATTACTTCATCATTCCCTCTAACTCCAGATGACCTTGTGCCTATGGCAGTCACACTGAAGTGCATCCCTGGGCCTGAGGGGATCCTCACCTTATGGACACAGCACCCCAGTCTGTGCCTCGCCAGCATCCTGCCACCTCTCTCAGCAGTGGCGCTAAGTGCCCTACAGCAAACTCCACTCTTCAGAAGTCTGCTTCATTAATTCTGTTTTTCTAGTGTTTATTTCCATTTCTACTGCCTTCTTTGTTCACTATTATGTCTGTGTTTATGATCTCCATGTTTTAAACCTCAAAGTCATTCCTTAACTTTCCACAAGGAAAAGGAGTGAAGACGAGCAAGCAAGCATTCCCTCCCTGCCTGGTGGGAATCCTCCTCATCTGTCAACAGTGCAGACTCTGTGAAGCACTCTTCCTCCAAACCAGAGGAGAGCCACTTCACCTCACGTCACCCCCAATGGCTATAGTGAACTCTCCAAGCTAGATTCTTGTCAAGGTCAGGACTGCAATTCCATAGGACCCTGGTGTTGAGAGCTGACTGCCAGTGCACAATGTGGGTAAGAAAGAAGCTTTATAGGGAAATTCACAGGAAAATGCTACCAGAATGCCCTCTTGCTTAAGGGGCCCAGTTTTCCAGAGGAAGTGATGTAGGAACAGACCTGAAAGATGAGCAGGACTTAGGAAGAGGGTGGAGTCAGAGTGTATAATTTAGGAGAAAAACACTGTCAAAGGCTTGCATGGAAAAAATGGAGTTTGCTTTAGCAACTGAAAAAGTCCAACAGAGCTGAATGCAGTGAGGCGTGGTGAAAACCAGGGTTGAAGAGTCAGCAGGAAGTGGAGCAGGGCAGGCTCTGCAAGATGGGACATGGGAAGTTGTCTGAAGAGTGGCGGCAAGCCAGGTGAGAGCTTGAATTAGGGCTGTGCCTGCTGCTGCAGGGTAGAGCAGGACAGAAGGGTGGCAGAACTGGGTAGGAAGGGTTACAGGAGGTATGCAGACATGAGTGGACACAGAGGGCCTAAGACTGGCCTGCTTGCATGGCTGGCCTTGGCTGGGGTCTGGGAATGTGGGTTCTGGGAGAGTTCCCATTGTCTTGAGAGGTTGGTTTGTTGGGCCCAAACATTTTACTCAAACAATATAGTTTATGTCGAGCTCCTGCTTTTCTTATGGGAGTCTGGCTTGTAGTACATGGGACGTCACCAGCCCCTATAAAAACTCAAGGCACCCAGTCTTGACAGGCAACATGCTGGGGGAGCGTATCCTGCGTGCCCCCTGGAGAGACACTTGGCTGCCTGCTCCGTGACTTCCTTGGACTTTGCCCCTTTGGTATGTGACCACAGGCTGAGTTCTATGTGTCCTTCCACAGAGCCACTGGGACTGGGTTCTCATGGCATCCCTGACAGGGTCCACTGGGTCTGATACATCTAGAAGGGCAACTGGAGCAAGTGACAACAGAAGGCCTGTGTAGGTAGGAACAGGAAGAATACTAGGCACCTCCTAGTTTCCATCTGCATGAGAGTCGCTGGACTCTAACTCTCCCATCTGGGCCCCCAGTTCCTAGCACAGTGGCTGCAAATATAGAGCTAATTAGATAGGTGCTTTCGGCATTACTATTTGATTTCTTTAATTTTAAAGACCAACACACCTATTATGAAATTTGTGACATAAAAAGCAAAAATATTAGCATAAATTATTGACATTTAATTTCTCTACTTGTAAAATAGCAGAAACACACCTCTTTTCAGGTTCTCATAAGGTTTGTGATAAGAATGTGAAGAAAGTTTTCAACAACACCTCATCTTGCATTATCATCATGATATTCTTTAGCTCCTTAATTAAACCTCAAATAAGGGAAAAATAACTTCAACATTTTCATTAAACCTGGATTCCTATTAGAATTGGCAATGAGGGCTGGGGGTTGTGGCTCAAGTGGTAGAGCGCTTGCCTAGCACGTGTGAGACACTGGGTTCGATCCTCAGCACCACATACAAATAAAATAAAGATATTGTGTCCACCTAAAACTAAAAAATAAATATTAAAAAAAAAAAAAGAATTGACAATGGATCTGGTTCATGATGGAATGGAGAGATGCGGGAATTTCATGCTGTGGGGGACACGGTATAGCAAATTCCTTAAGTCTATCCCGACATTGAACAAGGCACACAGAGCAGCACTTACTTGGGTATTGATGGCAATGCCCGTTCACCTTCTGGGAAAAAAAAAAAGAAAAGAGAGATGAGGTAGCTTTCATTCCTTTTGAAGAGTTTATACATAGAAGCCAGGGAGAACAGTAAGCCTCCTCCTGGGATTTAGCAGTACTCCTTTAAACAAGTCAGTACACTGTGTCTTAGCTGTCCAAATACCTACCATAATCACAGACTGTTATGTGCATCCTGTTCAAGAGGCTTGCTGAATCATATAATAAAGAACAAAGGTGAAATGTTGATAAAAGATTTCTAAAATCAAAATCAAACTTCTTTGCCAAAGATCCAAACATTCTGCATTTTGATAAAACTATTCACCGGTAACAGCTCCAAAACCCGTGTAGGCAGCCTGGTGAAACACCAGGGAAACAAGGCTCAGGTGAGTGTAAATGCCAGAGGGTTCCTGCACCCGAGAAGCAGAGGCACAGGGAGGACCCCCTGGTCAGAGAGTGTGCTACACAGCCACGTGCCATGGTGCTCAGAGTGGGCCTCTCTGTGCAGAGCAGGACACCTCTTCCTTTGGGGTGCAGTAACTGGCTCACGCAGGGGATCATGTACTCTCCTCCAGCCTCCGTCTGGGAGTCCTTCCTGGTTTTCGCCTCTTCAAATCCAACTTTATTTTTCCCAGTTCTGCTGATCACCATTTGATACATTGTACTGTGTTACTTACTTTCTCTTAACAGTTTATTCATGCTATTCATGTCTCTATGAATGTCTCAGGCATGCAGGACCTGTGTTTAGTCTGCTGCTACATTCCTGACTTGTGTCTGGAAAGCAGTGCCCTGATACCTGCACAGCACCTGGCACTGAGGTGGCTCTCAGGCCACTGCTCAAGGAAGGAGGACATAAGTCAACCTGGGCCCTCCCGACCGACTGTCTCTTTTAGGGGCACTGCAAGAGCTGGGTAACAGGGCAAGAACAGGACCCACGGTGGAGCCGTACAGCTCAGAGCCAGCAGCACCGCCTGCTGAGCTGGATAGCCAGTCAGCATGCCCCCAAAGACCGAAGATCAGAGTGGGGAAGCCCATGGTGAGCTCACTACCCCCAGGCACGACCACTGCACCACACCCAACACCATCACTTAGTAAGATGGCCTTTCCAATGACACAGGGGTGTGATGTTTAGATTCAGCTTTTAAATTTTTTGAGCTCTATGAAATTTCTACTTCCTCTGAGAGCAAATCAATCATTCCACTTGTGAATAATAGAGATTCCAAAGTAGCTGGGCATGGGCAGAAGCTCGCTGTGACAAGGTGAACAACAACCGGAGAGTGCTGACAGCAAATTTGAAGAAGTGAGAAGAAGGCAACAGACATCCCACCAGAGCATCAGGAGACGACCTGCATACCCACTGAGCACTCTGTCTGGGAATTAGGGATCAGCACTCCTTTAGACCCACTGGACTGGTACATGATCCAACACAGCTCCTTGCATCTATCAGGATGGGTCTTACTACTCTGAATACACTCTTTTAAGAATCTTTGCATCACCTTACATTTTGTTTGAGTTGAAGGACTTTACGGTTCAATTTCTGAATAAAAGATATTATCTACTGCTCTTCATGCATTTAATAAAGATTTGCTGTAAGAAATCTAAAAAGGTGAAGCTTACCCAGTGAAGAACGTGGGAAAGCTGAAGTCTGGGTCCCCAGGAGCAGCAGGCCACTTAGGCTCTCATGCATTCCTTATGCCACAGGCACTTAAAACATACCCTGGTGTGGACATATAGGCATACACCTACATGTGGGTGCTGTTGTTTGTTTACTGATCCCCACTCTGCTTCTAGCTTCTACTGTCAGGGACAGTGTAACAGTGATTATCCCTGAGGCGATGCTGCTGTGGAACCAGCAGCAAGCCCACCTAGAGCCTGCTGGCAATGCTGCACCAATGGCACCAAGTACATGGCAGCATGCTTCCAAATCTTGGCACAGTGGCTGATGCTGCTGGTTATTTTTTTTTTTTTGAGGGGGTGCCAGGGATTAAACTCAGGGGCACTCAACCCCTGAGCTACATCCCCATTTTGTATTTCATTTAGACACAGGGTCTCACTGAGTTGCTTAGCGCCTCGATGTTGCTGAGGCTGGCTTTGAACTCTCGATCCTCCATGTCTCAGTCTCCTGAGCAGCTGAGATTAAAGTCATTTGCCACCATGCTGGGTAATAGCTTCTGTTTTTAAAAACAACCTAATAAATGCAAAATGACACATGTCCCTGTTTGGGTCCATGTTTACGGGACATCTGCACATACATTCTTTTTATGTTGGGCTGCTTTTTATTTAATAAGCTGGAAAAACATGTGAAAAATAAAGAGTTTTAATTCTTTACTGTATGCCTCACAAACATTTTCCCTTTCCGTGTCATAGCTTTAGAGTGTTCGTCTTTTATGAAAAGGAGTATTTTAATTATGTAGTGACACCTATCACTTCTCTTCCACCTTCTGGGTTTTAATTGCATGCAGTAGTTCACACCCTCTCTGGCAAAGAGCAACGCTGGCTGCAGTTTTTGCAGGAAACCTCAGAGAGCAAGTTTAAACTTCACAATTCTTTCTTCCAAGGGGAAGAACTGATTCTGAACGTTCCTCTACAGGCTCAGGATAGGTCAGCTGATGCAGTCAGGGAAAGGCCACATATTGATGCTTGTGGAGCCTGGTCAGGACATCTTTGTCCAGCCTGTGGCTTTTATTATGTTTTCTGCCAATAAACATCACTTTTAAGAGCACTATAAATCCAAAATAATGTGGTAGATCAATGCACAAAGTACACATGAACATGCCCAGAGATCACACGCAGAGCTTACTGGCCAGTTCTCACTGCTATGCTCTGTTATGCACCTGCATCTGTACACTCTGCCACTCTTAAGCAGTTTGTAATCTAAAGACAGACCAGAATGTCATTTTTGTTGAATGTGTACTGCCAGAAAAACATTGTAACAGATTTGAAAAACACAATGTTATTTGAATTTTTCTTTTATTTTAAAACTTAGAATGTATTTTAACTGATAAAAACCTGTATGTCATAAGTACTACAGGATGCCTCAGTACATGTATGCACAGGATCACGGTCAGATCAGGGCAGACCCAAGCCACCCCAACACATTCATCATCCTTCATGGGGAGACACTCAAGATCCTCTCTCCTGGCTCTGTGAAAGACACCACATGCCAGAGCTTCTGCCCCCACAGTGCACCTCCATCAGACCCTCCCATCTTACCCTCGCACCTGCCCACCCTTTCCATCGTTCTAGGGGAACAAATCTCAATTAAAAAATGCACATGTGGGGCTGGTTTGTAGCTCAATGGTTGAGGCACTGGGAGGGAGGGAGAGCATGGTTGAGGCACTGGGAGGGAGGGAGAGAGAGAGAAAGGGAGGGAGGGAGGGAGAGAGAGAGAAAGGGAGGGAGGGAGGGAGAGAGAGAAAGAGAGAAAGAGAGAGAGAGAAAGAAAGAAAGAAAGAAATCGTGTCCATCTACAACTAGAAAAAAAATTTTAAAAATGCACACGTGGCTTTCCCACATATATTTTTGACTACCATCCTTGACCTCAATATTATATCAAGTAGGCAATAAATATGGTTTTGCCTCCGGGGCTTATGATTAAATTGTTATGTATAAGGTTGGTCTATAGCTCAGTGGTCGCTTGTCTGCCTAGCAGGCCAACACCCTGAGTTTGGTCTTTGGCACCACAAAAATTACAGTCGTGTAATAGATAAATATGCTGGGATTCAGAATAAGATGAAAAACTATCAAGCTGAAAAATCTATCCTAAAAGAAACTTAATAATCTATCCTAAAGGACCGGCAGCAGCCAACACCCAGCTCTCCATGCAGAGCACTTTCCTTTGTGTTCTTCCCTGTGAATGAAATTCTTAAAGCACCTCATCTCATGTTCCCCAGCAGAGCCTCCTCCCTTCAGGACCAAGACGTTAGCTAACTGTGCAACAGGCATGAGAAGATGCTGATGCCTTAAATGTGGAGTGGATCAGTGCCTACTGTTTGAATGTTGTTACCATGTATTAAATATACTCATAAAACAGTGATAAAAGATATTTTGGTAAGTTAAGATGAAATTAGAAAATTATTTATTAAAAAAGGAGATATATGATATACCACATTTTAACATTTGCTCCAAAGCACTTTCTGAAGTATTCGCCCAAGACCTTTACATATTTTCAAGGTATGTACTCCTATTTAAAGCACAAAGTGAAAAATCAAACACTGTGGCTGCAAAGGTTTTAACTGAAGGGCGCTTCCAATATTTCTGAAAGCAACTTCATTACTACATTTTAGATAAAGAAAACTTCAACAAACATACACGTTTTAGAAGAACACATAGACAGGTTCCCCTGGTGTACTCTTCATGGGAAGAGCCTCTGCTAGGTGCACCATATCCAGGCCTCATGCAGATGGAGCTCAGTCAGTGTAGTGTACCTGTGGTCTCAGCTCTTGCTCCAGAGCACAACTGTGTCCCCTATCGTCTAAAGTGACTCCAATTTGAAAGGTCCACTATGCCTAGGGTACTCTGGCCAGATGTTCTCCTCCAGGGCAGGTGGGGTTCTCTGGGTTCCATCCCAGAAGCCAGTCTTTGTCATTTGTTTTGCTTGTGTGTCCCTCCACTCTGGTCACTATTTAACTCGATCCAGCTTGTTGGACACACCACATAGGCCTTGGGATTCTTTCTAGCCATCCTGGTCACTGAGTGACTGCTGGAAGGGGTGTCGGCCATCAGGGCAAACTCTGCAGAGTGCCCATCTACCCTGCTGCAAGCCACTTTATGTTACCATTGGGACCCACCTAACAACCCTACAAGGTGTCACCTTCCCTCTTTTACAGGAGTGGTCTCAAAGTCAAGGCTAATTCAGTACATCAAGACCCAACAGGACTGGAGAATGTGACTGAGCTTCTGTGCAAGCCTGCTCTTCTAGCAGGAAGTCACCAACCTCCTGCACCATGCAGGCAGGTTGGCCGCTGGGCTTCCTGGAGCCAGGCACTGACAGATGGCAGTGCTGCGGACTCGCAACATGACCCACAAGCTGACGCAACTCCAAGGCCCAGGCCTCCCCAATTGATGCAACGCTAGTGTCCTGCTGGGAATATTTTCATTTGATTATTTCAGAACTCCAGATTCTCTGGAGTATGCTTTGTTTGCAAAATCCCTGTGGCGCTTCCGAGAGGACAGACTCCTTTCTAGTTGTTTATTCTATCTAATATTTGATTTCACATCATGATTTAGAATTTATTTTGTTCAACTATTCTAAGCTTTTGAAGTACTTTAGAAAAAGCAAGAAAGAAACTTTATTTAATGAGTTAAAAGGGATGCTTTTTAAAAATAGAATAAAAAAATCTCGAAACTTTACTTAAAAAGTACTCATAATAACTTAGAAAACACTCTAAGTGGGTTGTGCAAACAGTGCAAGCCAAGCTGTGTTTACACTGCACTTGGGCCCAGCACCAGATCACCTACCCAGAGAAGCAAGCATCAGATCATGGCACTTTATGCATCCGTCTGGCTTTCCCGTTACAGCATGACAGAACCAGGAGAAAACTGCCAAGGGAGCCCCTCCAACTGCTCAGGAGGAAAGAGGGGCCAGGACAGAAGCAGAGCCTCACCTCTCTGAGGTCTGATGATGAAGGACTGCGTGGCTCCGCTCACCAGCCGGCAGTACCCGTCTATTAGGTCCGCCATGTTCTCGGCGATGCTCAGGGATGGGGCTGTCACTGTCAGAGGCTGAATAGGAGAAAAACCAAGAAAGAGACACTATTGTTCTTCCAGCAACCAGAAAGACAGCTGCACTGACATCAGACCTCCACAACATGGGCCCGGCGGGGGTGGGGGAGAGTGTGTGAAATAAGGCTGTCCCAGACTGGACTGCGACAGGTAGGCTGCTAGTTAAAGACACCATTCCTTGGATGTGAGACACAAGACCACCCCAGGGGAAAAGAGGACAATCACTTCAACTGAAGCTCAGAAAATGGAGAAAAAAGGTGGGAAAATATTTTTCTTCAGAGTGTCTGGCTCCCCTAGCACATTCTGATTGGGGAAGAATTTAGATAATCGGTGAGCTGAAGTAAAACTTGTTTTAGAAGTGAAACTAATATGGTGTTGTCAATTTTTATTACTGTCCACCACAATTTTTCTAACATTAAAATACCACTGTTTTTAGCATACATAGAGTGCTCTGCCCGAACATATAAAACTTACTCTTTTCAAATGTTCTATTTGATGAATTTCCTAAGACCCATCTTTAAGTGTTCTCTAGGTCACAATAAAAGCTGCATTTCATTTTCAAATCCAAGAACATCCTAATTTGGTGAGCACTCATGTCTCCTACCATGTGATGTGCCCCCCTCAAGCCATCACCCTGAATGTTACTAGGGGACAAGAAGGAAAGGCTCGAAAATGATGCTGGAGTTCAGGCTTCAGGAAACTGCAGTTTGCAACAAGTTTTCAGTATTCTATGGGAGTATTTGTTAATCCTGATAATCAATAAACTACATGGCATGAACTCAAAACACCTTAGAGTGGAAGAGCAATGAAGTGAGCAGGGGAGGCCCAGGTGTTCACTCGACCGTCCACATGAGAGCACTCAGCCCATTTTTCAGAGGGTCATGCTACCTGGTGCTCATCCGAAGACTATTTCTGGTGACACTGCTTGCTTTTAATACACTGCAACATGGTGATTTAGAGTAAGGGGCATGGGTTTACCTGCTGCAGTATGAACACATCCCTGTCAAAACTAAAGACTGTGGCCAGGCTGTGCCTCAGCTTCTTCATCTATGGTGTTCACCAAAATAAAGGTACCTACTTTGCTTGGTTGTGACACCATCACAAGCCTCATCAGCATGAGCCAGTGCTGCTATTATCCTGTCAGTACCCACAGCATATCACATACAACACAGGTTCACAGAGTAGACACAAAGACATAATTCCAAGAACTTGATTTCCTTGATGCTTTGTGATATCTTTAAATCATCTTCAAAACACTGTTCTTGATTAACTTAAAATTGGTCTCCTGTCCCTTGGGGATAATTATTAATTGAAAAGCAACCCTTATAAAAATGAGAAAGTTGTGACTCTGATGATCCATGAAAATTTCACCCTTATCCTAAAACACATCATTTCTAAACCGGTAGGATGCTTTGCTCTCCCTCCCAGTGCGTGCCAGGGTCCCTTACCTCGGGGGCACCTGCGATTTTGAGCTGTAGCATTCCTTTTCTGTCTTTGTCTTCACTGTTGGAATACTGAATGGTCTGCACTTGGTTGAAGTCAGCCAGATGTGTGGGCTTTGAAAAGGAAAGCACAAAACACTCTCTTCACCAGTTCTGTTGGATATTCTGTCAAATTCTGTGGCCCCAACTGCTAGCTCCTTCCTCTGAAGCCTCTCCCCAGTCTGGAGGCTGGGGAGCGCTGACCCTCCACAGAGCCTGCACAGCAGCGGGCAGTCAAAGAGCTGTCTCCTGAACTTCATATTCGGGACATGTCTGTCCTTTTTACTGTCCTGAGGATATCCACACGAATGAGCCGGTGAGGGGAGAGCACATCTCCCACAGAAGAGGAGGAAGCAGGAGCAGCCCCTGCTTTGACCCGCTGGCCAGCCCAGATGGGCACCTGCAAACTGGCTGGAATGAGGCTCTGAGGCACTAGAAGTTCTGCGGTGTGCTGGGGCAGGGAGATTGCAGGCAAGCAAAGGGCTCCAGGAGACAGTGGTATCCCAAAACCCCATCCTGCCCTGACTGGACTCCAGGACATTCAGAAGTGACTATGGTCCAGGTTTTCTTTTTGGAAAGACAAGACATACACAGTGTCTCCTGAACTCCTAGCACTTTTTGACTATGGTCGTTGTGCATGGTGATTCCTAAATGACTGGCCTAGCTATGGCCAGTTCCTTAGCATACCCAAGGTATCATGGAGGGTACCAAGGGCTTGAGCAGAAGCTGCTCTTCAGTAAGGGGCTCAAACTGAGTGCCCTCCCTCGAAAAGCATCTTCCTGATCTGTTTTCAGGGATGCAACATGTATAGTGTATACATTTCGTCCCTCTAGGCCCCCACTCTCCAGCCCACCATCTCACACTGTGCTATGGTTTCCTTACTGGCTCCCTCACCCATGCCTGCCCCAACCTGGAAATCAGGAAGAAACTTCAAAAATGTAAAAGTCAGAGCCTTATACAGTGGTGTACAACTGTGATCCCAGCTACTCAGGAGGCAGAGGCAGGAGGATCACAAGTTCAAGGCCAGCCTCAGCAATTAAGTCTCTGTCTCAAAGTAAAAAATAAAAAGGGCTGGGGATGCAGCTCATCCACTGGGCCCAGCATGGGCAAGTCCCTAGATTCAGTCACCAGCACCTCAAAAAATAAAAAATGAGTAAAAATGTAAATGAGATCATATTTCCCTAATTTAAAAGCTACAACCCAAGTGCCATAACTCCTGTGACATATAGGATGACTTCTGTGATCAGACACTCTGTGTGACATGACCCCCTCCCTGCCTCTCTGATCTAATTCCCCACCATAATCTCCTCAGCTGAAATCTGCTCCAGACTCGCTGGGGTAAAACCATTCCAGGGGGTGAGTGGCTTCTAGTGGACCAGAACCTAAGGCATGTAAATGATAACCAGGGCTGCCAAAGGTCACCAAACATGGCTTTCCCAGATCCTAGAGTGGGAGGCTGTATTCACGGCACTGAGCTGCCCAGGAACACACCTCATGTGTGTCCCAGGAATGGTACACTGCACTGTATTTGAAATTTTACTAAGAGAGGTCACTGTTGCCAGGGTCAGGAGTGTCTACAGTGTGTCTGTGTCAGTCTCTATTCATAACCAATGCACGTGCACATATAAAAGGAGATCTGAGACTCCTCTGATAGGTGGAGATACAAACATTAGTAACCTGGTGTGGCCCATGAGTTTTGAGTGTTATCTCAAATTTTTTTTTTTCTTTTTAAATTCACAAGTACAGTAAGAAATTCAGGGTATGGAAATGACATACTGGAATACTTTTCCTTACTTTTTTTCAGTCTGCTGTTTCTCCTTCTCACTCTGACATTCTCTCCCCCAGGGTTCTTCCCTACCACTCTCCCACCACGCTGCTATGGATTACTTCTGGTGGTCCGTCCTCTCTCAGATTCTAAGCAGGTGCACCTGACAATAGTGCTGTCCAAAGTATTTCACATATCCAGACAAGTGCACTATTGAACCATTAGGACCCAGGTTAAATCCCCAGCAAAACACACAAACATCAACACTCAACACCTCTCCAGATAAACTGGAACAGCCCTATCAAATTCTAACATACGTAAAACTTGTATGATTCATTTCCTTCCAAAACTAAAGAATTCTGAAGAAACTCAACAGGGGTCTAGGATTTCTCTTGTCTTCGCCCCTTTGAGCAAGAGGTACCACTCAATGGCAAGGCCTGATGTAAGGTGCTGCCTTTGCAGAGCAGCACCCCATCTCATTACCTTGACTCCTTTCTGCCTACAGTCTTGTTTGAGAGGCGTCACAGGAGCAGACTTACATTGCAGCCCTTGTCTGTTAGGTAACTGATCCCTTCTTCGGGGCCGATTGCCAGTTCCACTGAAATAATCCAGCTTGACTTTTGAAGTCAAATAGGTGAGGACAGAGGAATGGGAAGAAAAAGAAAGATTTTAGATCAAGAGTCATGGATATATTAAAGGAGGGGGCTGGCTGGCTTGGTTTGCAATTAACCTATCTAAAAAAAAAAAAAAAAAAAAATTAGAGAAAATATAACTTCACTGCTCCTGTCCTGAACCTAGAGAGGGACACAGTGTGGCCCTTCCAGCAGGCCACAACCAGTATTTTCTTTGACAACATGATCTGAATAGGCAAACAAGGCCTTGGAGAACAAATTGCAGGTTGGAATAAAAACACCTAATTATGAACACAGTCGGACAACTTCATTCTCACATTGATTATTTTTTTCATTTTCCCCACTATGAAGTGACAAAATAGTATTCTCATTAAAAAAAAAAAAAGTCACAAATTAGTTCTTTGAATCTGAAATTTAAATACACATAGATAAGAAAAAGCAGAAGAAGCTGGGCAAGGTTGTGCATGCCTGCAATCCCAGCGGCTTGGGAGGCTGAGGCGGGAAAATCACAAGTCAAAGCAAGGCACTAAGCAACTCAGTGAGAACCTGTCTCTAAATATAAATAGATAGGGCTGGGGATGTAGCTCAGTGGTCAAGTCCCTCAGTTCAATCCGTGGTAACTCCCTCCACCAAAAAAGGAAAGAAATAGCAGAAGAAATCAAACTGGCCTATTGCTCCATGGTCCCATACTTACCCCCAGGGCACACTTGAAGCATTCTTTATCAAATCTGTACACTGGAGAGAGGATCTCAAAGAATTTCAGAATACTTTCTTCTCTATTAAGGTTGGCAAACTGTCTAAATGTTTGTTGGATCAGTTTTCTTAAAGTTTTGGCCTGCAAAATAAAATTACAAGAGAGTGTTTTAGAGTCAGCAATGAGTAAAGACTGCAGCAATAGTAAGATTTCTTCCCTGCCCACTACTTAATACTACTTAATGCATGGCAAGGTTGAGTACATTCAGGTACCACCTGTTCCACTGTTACCAAGGAAAATCAATATGGCTTTTTGAAGGGTATCACAAATCATCAACTTAAAAATCCTAATCTTTGATCCAAAAGGTAAAATTCGGACGTGAAGGCGATCTGGCCGCGACATCTGTCGTCCCATTGATTGACGGGGTTGATTCAGCTAGGCCAGTGTTCCTTCCTCCTTCGCGGTTGCATGTGTGTCCCTCCTGATGCTGTGTGTTTGGCCAAAAAGGACGACCTTCCCCGATAGAGGACAGTCTTGGGTCAAGGGTATACAAGTAGCTGTGTCCCCCTGCTAGAACCTCCAAACGAGCTCTCCAGGACATTATTCTTTTTTTTTTTTTTTCCTATTTTGGTACCAGGGATTGAACTCAGGGGCACTTGACCACTGAGCCACATCCCCAGCCCTATTTTGTATTTCACTTAGAGACAGGGTTTTACTCAGTTGCTTAGTGCCTCGCTGTTGCTGAGGTTGGCTTTGAACTCACAATCCTCCTGCCTTCGCCTCCCAAGCCGGTGGGATTACAGGCGTGTGCCACTGCACTCGGCCAGGACATTATTCTTTATAAATGACTGAAGACAGATGCAAAGATTCAGCAACAAGGAGACTAGGGCAGGGCCGTTTACAGGGACACGTGGACTGGCTACATACTTCATGACGTATCCACCTACCCTACTGACATTCTATATGGAACAGAAACTGCTTTGTGTAATTAATTTAATGATATTAAAATCCACACCATATTGTTATGCAACAGAGATGACAAAGCTGTCTGCATGAACAGAACACATTCCCAGAAAAGAGCGCAGGGGAGCCTCCCATGGACTCGGGCTTGCCAAACATGCAGTCATGGGCACATGAAAGGGCAAACAATCATGGTTTTTACCTTGGAGGGGATGATCAGTGGCCTCTGGTCCTCTTTTGCTCATTTGTGATTTCAGTTCCTACACATGAACATCTGGCTAGCACAGCTAGTGCTTCCCAGGGGGAAACCTCAGCCCATGGTGTGAGAGGCAGCTGCAGAGGCCATGTGGTAAGGTCTGAGAGGGTGAGAGCTGCAGGCTGAGGTGGCCATGGTATGAAACCAGCTATCACCCTGCTGTGATGCCTACTCAAGAGCTTTGAGCAGAGGATGACCTTATTCACCTAGCTTTAACAGGGAAACTTGGGCTGCTGTGATGTAAACAGCAGGAAAGGAACAGGAGAGACTGGGTAGGAGGCTAACAAAATAATCCAGGTGGGAAGTGACTGCACAAGTGTGGAAGCAGAAAAGGGGTGAGCAACAGTCAGATGCTGGTAGATAAGAGCTGGCATTGACCTGCCTCGGCTAAACTGTGGGAGGAGCAGATTGGCAGGTGAAGGGTGGGGAGAACAGTAGGAGAATATAAGAAATCCAGGCAGAGCTGTCTAGCAGGTCACCTTCAGTACAGAAGGAAAAAAAGCTGGGAGACTGGAAGGCAGGAGTAGGTGGAGATGGACTAGGTGACTCGCTAATCTCAGTGGCCTTGGGTAATGGCGAGCTGCAGTTGCTGAGGCTGGTACAGGTGAAGTAGGAGGGTGTGGCTACTTATGCAGGTGACAGCCTATCTGGAGGGTCTGGGTGGTCCCATGGGAGTCATGGGATTATTAATCTGGGACAACAACAGATAGTCAGTTGGGAAGACAGTAGTTTGTTCAGAGAGGGTTACACACAATGAGGGGCTGCAGCTGGTGAGATGAAAAACCAGAGTGGGAGGCTGAGACAGGGGAGGGGCACGACTGGAGGACAAGTGTCTTTAAGCAGAGTGAGGGTGCTAGAGGGTCACCGAAGGCAAGTGACTTGTGTTTAAGCGCTGGATCTGCTCCTGCATACAGAGGGAGAGAGAAGTACACTATCTGTGGCTGGCTGTGTGGGTGTGACTGTCCCCTAGAAGACTGCACCCTGTGGGTGATTCTTCTCTGGCCTGCAGTGGGCCAAAGGCAGTTTTCTCATTACAGAGCAACACATAGTACCCTAGAAGCTGCAGAATGTATACAGACTCTAAGAGCAGGTTCCTTCCACTCCAGAAAAAAGGCACTAAGGGAATTCTTTTGGGTGCTTGGCATTTGGAATACACTGAAGAACCAGGGCAGACACTTTGTTTCCAGAAATCTAGTGTAGCTGGAGAAAGCCTTCAACCTGTTGTCAAGGCCACATAGGACACTAAGAGTTTTGTGTGCACAGTGCTTGGAAGACAATGGCTAATACCATGAGATTGGCGCCAGAAAAGCCACACATCAGCCTGCCATGGATGTGAGTCCACGTCTTCACAATGACCCCTGCAAGACAGCTACTACTGTTCACAGATTAGCAAATGGAGACTCAGAAGGTTAGGTCAGGAGGCAAGGTCAGAAGAGATGGCTGCAAGTCCAGGCTGCAGGAGCTCTCCTCACCAGCTTGTCAGCAGCACAGGCAATGCCTACTCTAAGATGCTCTCCAACCTACATTGTGAAGAAATAACCACCAGGTTCTGCAGCCTCCCCTCACTCTGAATTTGATTTCTACAGCACTCTGGTAAGATCTTTGTGGGCAAGAAGCCTCTACGATGGCTGCCCACAGCTGAACTCAGCTAGATGCATCAGCCTGGTAAGCATGCGACTCTGCACCATGACCTGGATTCTGGGGGCCTGGTTCTCTCACATAGCTCAATAACACTGCCCGTCCTGCATGAGAGCAGGTAGACAGTGCAGACCTCCTCACTTCAACACTATCCCAGAGCCCACTGACGATGTTCGGATGAGAAGAAAATCTACATTAGCAAGCAGAAAACAAGTCCTGCAAAGGCCCTGGGGGCCAGACCATCTTTCCTGGCGTGGGGGATACCACAGATTAGAATGGGCAGCAGCTGTGGAGTGGAGGTCAAACAGGCACAGGGACCACAGTGCAATGGCTCTACTGTTCACATCAGTGGGAAGCTGACAATTGTTCCCAGCTCTAACCCAGATATGCACAGATGGGCAGAAATTAAAACTATGTAAACAACTCAGTTCTCTGCTTTAAACCTTGATATGGTTTGGATGTGAGGTGTCCCCCAAAGCTCACATGTGAGACAATGAAAGAAAGTTCAGAGGTGAAATGATTGGTTATGAAACCCTGAAACTAATCAGTGCATTAATCCCCTTATAGGGATTACCTGTGTGGTGGCTGTAGGCAAGTGGGGAATGGCTGGAGGAGGTGGGTACCTGAGGCACGCCTTTGGGGTGTATACTTTGTCCCTAGTAAGTGGAGCTCTGCTTCCTGGTTGCCTTTCCTAAGCTGCTTTCCTCCACCACACCCTTCTGCCATGAGGTTCTGCCTCACCTCAGGCTCAGAGCAATGGAGTCAGCCATCATCCCCAAATAAACTTTCCTCCTCCAAAATTGTTCTTGTCAGGTCTTTTGGCCACAGTGATGAAAAAGCTGATGAAAACAGAAATTAAGGGGTCAATGGAGGTGTTGCTGTGACTAACCTGACCAAGTGTTTCAAGAGCTTTTGAATCATTCTGGAGTTTCTAGGAGGAATTTTGAGATGCTTAAAGATGCAGGCTGGGAAAGCTTTGGAATGTTGTGATCAGAGCTTAACAGGCAATCCTGGTGGCAGTTCAGATGACCAGACTGCTAATAAGACAGTAAAGCCTGGACTTGAGAGGACTCTATTAGAATCTAAAGAAGTTGTCTGCACTTTGCCCATGTCCTGAGACTTCCTGTGAGGCTGAATTTAAAGGTGATGTACTAATTATTCTGGGGGAGGAAATTTCAAAGCAGCACAGCATTTGCAAGTAGTGTGAATGTTGCTGGTGGCTTTTAGCCAAGTTTGTTGTAATCATAAGAAGGGAGCTGAGCATGAAGTTTCGAAAAACTTTCAATTTGGCCACAAAAGTGGAAGTAAAACAGTGGCTAAAGAAGGTGTGGTTGCTAAGCACATTACAGCCACTGAAGAGATACTAAATACTTTACCCAGGGACAATGGGAATGATGGTTTGACAGGTCTCAGGAATTGGCCAGATCATCTGAGGCTCAAGGGAATAAAAGTAAAAAATCTTGAGAAGAGACCAAGGGGCGCACTGCTTGTACAGGAAGTCCTGGGAAGAGTTTTGCCGTGCTCAGGCACTTATAGACACTCGGAGGCTGCTGCAGCCAGGGTCCTGGAGGCTGGGCTGCTATTCCAGATAGCAGCAGACCTTGGTGTCAACCACATGGTGCTGGTTCTGCAGGAAGGCAGTTGCTGGAGTTAGGGGGTCATGAGACTTTCACCAAGATTTCAAAGGAAGGCCTGGGGGACTAGGCAATGCATAAAAATATGAGGAAGCCAAAGCTGCAGTGGACAGACCCCCCTGAGATTCAAAAATGCCAGTATCATGGGACATCTGCTGAGGAAAGCTGCAGGAAATAAATAGAAACAAGACAAGAGAGAGGCCATGTGGGCTGCAACTAGCAAGGCCACATGGGTGAAGCTACACAATCCTACTAGAGAGAAGAGCACCGTGCCCTGTGGCATGCCCCAGATGCTGACTGTTGGAGCTACAAAAGTTGTTTGCCCAGCTGGATTTCTTTTTTCTTTTTTCCTCCCCCCTTCCTTTTTTTTTTTTTTTTTTGGTACTGTAGAGTGAATCCAGGGGTGCTGAAACACTGAGCGAGACTCCCACCTTCATTTTATTTTATCAGAAATTACAACTACTCAGCCATGTTAAAACAGCAAATAATTTCTTATTCATCAACCGAGTCTCACTGAGCTATTTAGGGCCTAAGTTGCTGAGGTTGGCTGTGAACTTATAATAAACCTCATGCCTCAGTCTCCCAAGCCACTGGGATTACAGGTGTGTACCTCTATGCCTGGCTTCGTCCCTTCTTTCTATGCCCCTATTTCT